TGAGCCATCTCTCCAGTCCCTAGTGATTTTTATTTATTTATTTATTTATTTATTTATTTATTTATTTATTTATTTATTTATTTTTATGTGTCTGAGTGTATTGCCTGCATGTATATGAGTGCATCTATCTTGTGCAGTGCCCATGGAGGCCAGAAGAGAGCATCGGATCCTCTGGGACTGGAGTTTAAGGATGGTTGTTAGTTGCTGTTGTGTTAGGAAGAGAATCCAGGTCCTGTAAGAGCTGCCAGTGCTCTTAACCACTGAGCCATCTCTCTAGCCTCTTAAGTGCCTTTCTAGGTGCCTCTACTGTGCAGCTTGTTGCATTAGGCCCATGTCAAATGCCTGGCAGGGTATGACACAGGATGACTGTAGATAGACTGCAAAGGAGGTAGGTGCAAGCCCTCAAGGTGCTTACAGCTTCACAAAGCTGTAGGGTCTGGTGCAAGCTAGAGGCGCAGAGGGGCTATAGGAATTCTTCATGTTTATGAATCATAGTGGGATAGCTGTCTATAACAACCTGGGAGTCTCAAAAATTCTGGAAGCCATCCGGATTAAGTGCCAAATGAGAATTCCCATGATCCTACTGAAAATAGACTAAGCAGTTCAGCTGGTGCCTAGGCAGAGACCAGCATTGATGATTGAGAGGTCTCCTTACAGGGAAGGAACTGCACCTCTAAGGAGTGTAAGTGGCCTCACAGAGAGGGTTACTCAGGACCTCCCACTGCAGGGTGTCTGGACAAAAAGTTTCTATGTGTTTAATAAAGTTTGACTTACAGTAGTTCCAGCAAGCCTTTATGGGTAGCTCAGACCACAGTGAAGCCAAATTGAGCAGGGTGTTTGGCTAATCTTGACTATCGGGACAAGATATCCTTCCTGCCTTGAGCCTACTCTAGACTGGAGAGGTGGAAGGATGCTGAAGGCTAGATGATCCTGGGCTTTGGCATAGTACTCAGTGTGGAGGGTGCAGAAAGTCTGTCTCTGAGCATCTCCTAGGCACAAAAACATGTTTACTGCATTCCTTATATTCTACTAAAACAGGTGACAGTGCCAAGTTTGGTGATTCCCAAGGACATCTCGTTCTGGAGCACTGATTCCCCTATCACAAGACTTTCTTGTTTTACTCATCAGCTAAGTCCTGACAAGAAGATAAAAGAAAGCAGTTCTTAGAATATTTTTAAAAAGCTTCCCAGAAGACATTTGAAATCTTTATGTGGCTTTAAGTTCTTTTTGTTTTGTACTTTATTTGTAAAGCAGAGTTTTCCCTATTTTCTCTTGTATCCTAGCAGTCTGCTTCATGGACCAGATGTTCACAGGCTGGTGTCTTACCAGTTCCAGGCTCCAGTAGCATGGTGGTCTTGGGAAGTGGATCCTTTCCATTGGCTGTGGGAGGGTCCTGCCTGGAGGAGGGTCTGGGCTGCCTGTTCCCTTTCTTGAGGACCACAAGAGCATATTTGTGCAGCTGTGCCTGATGTAGAACCTTCGTGATGTCACTCTGGGCCAAGCCAGCCAACGAGGTGCCATTGATGGAGAGAAGGAAATCTCCTCGGCTCATACTCCCTTCCTGAGATGCTGCGCCCTGAGAAAACACCCTGTGGACCTGAGATAGAGGAAAAGGGAACAAAAGCCAAATCCATTCATGACCTTGAGGACTGCAAATCTGTGGTAAAGGGATGTTCTCATGACAAGTTTCCAATCATAAAGAGTGTTTGCTGTATCACTGTGTAGGATAAATTTGCAGATCTCAACACCAGCATCTACATACATTTTGACTCAACTTCTTGTGAGCGTGCAGTCTGTGCCTGGTACCCACAGGCAGCAGGAATATAGAAACAAATAAAATCTGGCCTCATGGGGCTGGAGAGATGGTTCAACAGTTGGGAGCACTGGCTGCTTTTGCAGAGGACCTGGGTTCAGTTCCTAGCACCCACAAAGTAGCTAACAACTGTCCTTAACCCCAGTTCCAGGGGATTCAGTGCCTTATTCTGTCCTCCATGGGCATTGCACGACACAGGTGCATTTGTATACATATAGGCAAAACACTCATATACACAAAATTAAAACCAAAAAAACCAAAAAAAAAACACTGGACGATCCAGTGAAGATGGCCTCCTGAATGACTTCAGGGGCTCCAAGTGATGTGAAATTCTGTTCTTCAGAAAGAAGCAGTTTTTGGTCATTTGAGTCTCATGTTTTTCTAGTGCTTAAATGTTTAGAAAGATTATTAGGTTATAGATAATTATGCTGATATGTATTGGCATTTGGCCTGTGCAGTGTGTCAGCTGTAAAAGTGCTAATCATTGACAATGGAAATACTACACACTACTATCCCCATGCTTCCATTTTTATGTTGGGAGCAGGGACTGAAACTCGGCAGCCTCTGAGTTCTCAGATTGGAATTTGTGTCCTGATCAAATTCTACAGCTGCTTAAGGAGGGATTTGCCAAGATGTTTGTGTCACTGCCACTTACCATGATTGATCTTGGCTCCCCATCTGTCCCTCCTGCCACACTGAATCCCAGACCTGAGCCTTCTTTTTTATTCAAGACTACGAAGCAAGTATCTTCTTTAGTCTAGTGAAGAGAAACCGAGAGTTTATTGTGTATTCTTTGTGCCCAGAGTAAGAAGCTTTGACCTAAATCCTCTGGAGATGTTCATCATGGAACCCAATAATTCTCTGTCTCACCCAAAAATGTTAGAGGAGCCCAGCTCAGCCATCTATACCCATCCTGGGTGGGGTTTAAGGGTCAGGTTTTGAGGGTCTACCTGCAGTTGTGGAATCGGGAACCTGAGCAAAAATGAGGGAGACAGTCAGGTCTGTAAGCCATTTGAGGTATGAGATTATGTCTTCTCAGATCTGATCATAACACATAATTTGGCCAAGTAGGAAATTCTTTATCCCACATGTCTCTAAGTCCACAAATTTGAGACAGTTTTGTGTAACTCAGACTGGCCTTAAATTCACTATGTAGTCAAGGGTAACCTTGAACTTCTGGTCTTCCTGAGTACTGGGATTAGACCCGGAGCTTTGCATGCTAGGCAGGCACTCTACCAACTGAGTTACATACATCCACGATGAGCAAAGCCGGTTTCAGTAACCACAAAAAGTGCCAAGGGGCAGGATGAAAGCACATTGCAACTGTACATTTCATACATCAGCATCCCTCTATCTACATTATTGGATTTCAGGTACAATTAGATTGTCAACCCATTCAGAGGCTAGAGTGTGCTAAATGGTGTTCTAGGATTAAATAACAGAAGGCTGTCTTATTTAAAATATCAGTCTAAAGACATCTTAAGATAAAAGATTAAACATAGCTGGGCTAATTATTTAGACTTTTGACTTCACTTTCATCCTTGATAAGACTCTGTGACATTGTAAAGCTCTGTATTGCTAGGTTTCACATGAGGTGAGCATCAGTCACTCCAAGATGTTCTCAAACAGCCATAGAAGAAATAACCTGTAAGGATTGATTGGAGAAACCACACAGGTGGTTTCTAGCGATGAAGAAATATGAAAAAAGAGTACTTTGATTAGTCACAAGGACTCATTTCTATGCACTGAATACCCCTCTAAGGAAAGGCCATCGAACCAAAGCCCCATAATCCTCCCATGAGAACATCCTGTAGAACTATGGGGGATGTTGGGGTGATGGCATGGGTCCAATTAGAGGACAGCAAGGTGACCCCTGGTATAGTAAATGGTCCTTTTTCAGCTCCTGGAAGGTCATGTTTGATGCTAAGATGAATACTTCTCACTCTTACATTCTTATTGGAGCAGAGACCATGTTTTGAAAATGGGATTCCTGCCATCCAAATTTTAATTTATTCAAATTATTTTTCCCCAGGAATATCTGAGGAAACAAGTGTGCTAGCAGCTGATGGTCAGGTCAGATTTTGCCCAAGAAACTTGGCACGGCATTGAGATGCCAGATGAACAGCAAGCAAGTCTTTAAGGCTTAGGTGTGCTGTCGCCAGAAGAGTGGGCTGGGTTCTGGACTCTCAGCACTACCAGAAGACCACAGGATATTGATTTGTGCGGTTATGTTTTTAGCACCTGCATACCATATTCTCTGGAGAAAAGCCAGGCAGAAAAGTGGTATGAAGAGAGTAGGGTAGGCTGGCTCTAAGCACTTGCCTCTCTGAAATGAACTGAAGACGACAGAAAATAGGGACAGGAAAAGAAAGCCATGTTCTGATGAAAGTAGGAATGATCCTCAACACCAAACTGCACACTTGTCTAGGAGTGAGTATCTGGCTAAAGGGGTACTAGGCATCCTGTCTGCCCTAAAGGCACCAGTCCACTTCATTGCTGCTCCTGAGAATGTACATTGTACATGCCTGCTTGAGGCTTTCTGGTCTCCTTGTATACCTTATTTAATACTGTACAGTACCCTTGAATTAAAGGGGGCCCAGCAAGAGTGAGACCACATCCATGCTACCTTAACCAGAAATCTCAGAACGAGACCACTACCTGTCATCCATGTTTACCTTGAAAGAGTTAGGGAGAGGACAAGATAGTCCTTCACTGGGAATGAAAGCATTTGATGCCTGTGTTTGATTGTACAGATCTGAACCAGAGGGGAGTGGAAGCTAGTGGGTGTATCTCCTCTCACCGCCCCCTATCTCCTCACCATTCTGGCCAACTAGATGCCAAGGGTGCACTTTAGCTGAGAAGCCTCAAATGATACCTTGGGGGTAATTTCTAGAACAGTGTTTGTGGATGACTAGTAAGTAACCTCAGTATGTTACCAGTAAAGAAGTCATTACTATTCGCCCTTTTCTCTACAAACACTCATCTGCCACACTTCAGTTTCTAATTGTTCAGAACATTCTAGACAGGAATGTATGCTCTTTTGTTACTCTCACATCTGATTCATTTAAAGCCTAATCAACCACTTTGTCCTGTACACTGTGGGGTTTGGAGCACAAGTGGGACTACACCAGTGTAAATCTTTGACCAGCAGGTGGCTCCCCTCACTAATTGGTGTCTGCACTGAAGGGGAGAGGCACATAGTCATTCAACCTTTCCTAATTCTGCTTCCAGGACCTCTGTTAACTCCACCTGCAGGGGTAGAAAGGCTGGGGTGCAGCAGCTTCAGCAGGCTTGCAATAGCAGTGACACCAACTCAACATCTACAGCTCCTGAAGCCAGTGGGAGCACGTGAGACAACAGACTGAGCCCAGTGCAGATTTCAAGGATGCAGGGTGTGCACATGCCTGCTCTTCAGACATAACCTGTTGATTCCGCCCTGTCGGTTTTTCGTTTTTTTGTTTGCGACTCACTCACCTCTGATTGTGCTTTCGCTTCCTGAATGAGAGTGAGAATGGTAGATTTCGACCCCACTGATGATAAAACAGCCTGTAATCTCTGCTGGTCCCCTGCTGAGGCGAGAAGCTGATCCAAACTAAGTAGCAAATACATTTGAAGAAGATTAAAGACAAAAGCAACCTCTCCGTTTCATAAGAATACATATGAAAGATACTTCTGCTGTGTTGTGGGCATTTTCTGATCTTTCTGCCTTCTGTTGGGCTTAACTCCCATTAATGGATGTTCTTCATAAACAAGGGCCATGGGAAGTGAGTTCTAAGCTCTTAGGGGACTGGGGTAGGAGTTTAGCAGGCAACTTCTGACCTGCTTAGAAATAACCTAGAGGCTAAAGTGAAGCACTTAGGAGTTTCTCATTTAACTCTAGTCACTTTCAGAGGTCCAGAGTGCCCCCAAAGGCCCAGCCTGCACTTGTCCTCAGCATCCTTCTCCCTGTAGACACTCTTATGCTTCCAGGATTGATAAACAGAGGCTAAATGCAGTATGGTTTCTTAATTGGATCCTAGAACAGAAAAGAACACTGGTGGAATTTACTCAGCAAAACTGAATAGCCTGTGGCTTAGTGCATAAGTTGCTCAGTGTTAAACCCTTCACTTCTGACAAATGGACCAGGGGTACTTAATGTGTTAACGTTAGGACCTAAAGAGAAGTAACGGGGATTCCCTGTACTATGTTTCCTGAAACTGTTCAATGGAAGCAGGTCACTTGAAATCAGAGGAGAGGATAGATACTTACTTCACTGACCAGCTTTTTCCACAAGACAGGGGCTGCACAGGTTCACTCCCTTCCCTGGCTACAATGGGTGCTGCAGGCTCACTGGCTTGAGTGCTGTTTACACCCAGGCAGGCTCTGGTCCCACGATTTGCAGGACATAGTAGAGAGGATGTTCCATTGAGGCCTCGAGCCGGGGAGCCAGCTGGAGAGCTAGCTGGGGAGCCGAGGGACCTCCGAGGAACAATCTCCAGCTGGGTTCTGAAGAGTACAGCCCCTGGGCCAGTCGAGTAGTCATCAGCACCACAGAGCTTGTCCAGGTCTGGCATGCTCAGGGCTCTCAGCTCCTGCAGTTTGGAGCGGGACATGGGTGAGGGCTGGGTGTGGCGCACCGAGGACTTGTTCCTCTTGATGGGCGAAGCTGGAGTCACTGTGGGGGTGGGAATTCCCAAAGGGACAAGTGATTTCTTTGGGTCTGAACTGGAGCCCTTGTTACTGGTATCAGGTGGATTCGGCCGGGACACAGTCAGCATCATGCTGGATGGAGACTTGGTCATTTGTGGGAGAAGGGCACTGGGCTCGCTCTGGGTTTCACTGCAGGAACTCAAGCTGCGCCTCAGTGACCTTGCTGCCGCATCAGTGGAGTGACTGAGGCTCCCTGAAGTAGTGATGCTGCCAGATGACCTTCTGCTAATGGGAGGCTTGGAGCTCACAGACAAAAGTGTGGATGCTGTGGACTTGGCTGTGGGCCGGTCAGAATTGGCCAGGTTCTCAAAAGACTTGATCCTTTGCTTCACAGAGAAAAACGAGGTAGATTCATGGGGCCAACTCTGCTCATAGTAGTGCTGCTTCCTGGTGACCTTGACTTTGTCAGAGATGAGGCAGCTTGTCTCAGGGACAGCACTGACATCTCCATCTGTGGGTGGCAGGTTCCTTGACGTTTCCAGCAGAGGCTTCACACTGTATACAGCCTGTCCATTAGCCAGGCCTTTGACTGCCTTTGCCTCAGAGAGACTACTGCTTGGCGCAGGAACCTGGCTGTCCTGAGGCGAGCGACTTGGGCTGTGTGGAGAACCCTCACGTCCAAAGTGGCTTGAGAACTGGGATGGCATGGAATAAGTCCTGGTGGCCGGCCTTGGTGTGAAGTAGGGGTGCTCTTCACCCCCAGGGCCCATTGGTGTGCCCCCCTTGGGCACTCCTAGAGCATCTGGCATCTGGCTTGCTCTTCCCTGGGAAGAATCTGGCCTTCTGGCAGGCAGCTGTGGGGAGGAGGAAGCCAGTCTGGCCATGCTGAGGGATGGTTGCATTTCCTGCTGTGCATGGGACGTAGATGAGGGCTGATTTGGGGCTGATTCCACCAACTGCTGGAATTGGAGTTCACGCTCCTCCTGACAGTTTCTTTGAGCCAAGAACCTTCCCTGTCTGTCACCGTCAGCTGGCTTGTCACCACACGCATTCTTTGGCATTCTTTCAGAAGAAATCTCAACTGTTTTCACCTGGTTTGTTCTCTCCAGGGGATTGCTAGCAATTCTTTTGCTTCCTTTCTCATCGATTTCCCTGGGCTGGGCTGCTTCTGACGCCGAGTCCACTTGGTTGGGTGTGAGTAGCTCGTTCTGTCTGATCCCTGCCAAAGTCACACTGTTCCTTGATACTGTGGGACTCACTGACCCGGAGTCAGCATGGGGTACCTTACCCTCCAGTCCCCACCTAGGGGACCTGGGAGTGGTTGGACAACTTGAGTCAGATTCTGAGCAGACAGCTGTGTGGAGCCTGCTGCCTGTACCTTGCTCAGGAAGTGTCTTGGGGGAGGACAGGGGCGAAGTGAACATTTTGATGCTTGTGTCTGATGCCAAGGCCCTCAGTGACCCAGAGGTTGCCAGGGGTGGCTCGCTCTCTGGCACACATTGGGGAGACATGGGGGTGTCCACAGGGGTGTTAGGCTGGTCAGCTATGTGGAATTGGTGTGCTACTGCCTTGGAAAGCATTTTGTGGGAGGTCTGGGGTGAAGTCAAGGACTTCCTGTGGTCAGGTCCAGCAGCCTTCACAGAGCTGGGCACCGGGGTCTCAGAACCAGGTTTGCTTTTGTTTTTAATGCTTAGTCTCCTGAGCTTAGGGCCACTCTTGGGTTTTTGACAGTTACTCAGGGGTGTTTCTGCTGAACTTTTTCTGGGCAGGTCTTTATTGTCATGATTCTGTTTCAGTGGAGGAGGGCTGTTAGGCACAGCAACTTCCTTTCTGTGGTTTGTACTCATCATCTGAGTTTTGGAGTCAGGACTTTTGGCTAGCATCATGGAGTGGTCCTTTTCAGATTTGTTCTGTAAGTGTATACCTTGGCTATTTTTATTTATTTCTTTAAACCAGGCCATGATGGGCCTCCTGGAGATCGTTTTTGGTTTCTGTAGCAAGTCCTCTAGGCCACGACTCTTGGAGATGTAAAGGTTTGCCAGGACAGCTTCTCCATTTTTTGGACCCTCTGCACCCAGGGCATATACACGCTGCACTGTACTAGCAACAACTGCTTCTTTATTTGGGGTTTCCTCATCCAACGGGTCACGTCCCAAGCCATTTACCATGTTCAGGTTGCTGAGTGTAACTGGCAGGTTGTGACAATGCCCAGTCACTTCAGAAGGTTGGTTTCTCCCCATGGCTGAGCTCACACTGCTCGCTGCCATGATTTCTCCTGTGCACAAGGGTCCATGGCTCTGTGAGACATTAACATCCATCAGTGTTTCATGCTTCTGAGAGCTTACATCTAGGAAGGAAAATGACTGGGAAGAGGTTGGGATGGAAGGGTGTGAGGCTCCTGGCAAGAAGCAGGCTCTTTCGCAGGGGTCCCCGACCTGTTCACTCTGAGCACTGTGCTGTAATGGTAGAACTTTGGCTAAAGCTGGGCAGAGTTCGGCCTGTGCAGGAACATGGGCAGTCATCGGTGGGGTGTCAGGGTAGCCATTTGTAGAACAAATTTCTATTTGTTCCTCCTCAGACTCAGTAGTATCTTCTTTATGAGAAGACCCATGAGAACGAGCAGAAGCCTGTGGGGCTTCAGCGAGAGACTCAGGGTCTGAAGACGAGTCCTCAGCATTGCCATACATGGATGAGAGTGATGGCTCTTTACTGTCACCCAGGCCTGACAAGCAGATACTGTCTTCATGAAAACTGCTAAAATTTCTAGAGTAGTTGCTCAAAAAGTTTTTGCTCACAGTAAAATGTTTGTCAGGATTGATGGAATCCAAAACCGAAGGCTGGGAGGCCCACTGTGGGGCTGGGGGTGGGCCTGATTCCCAGGACTTCCTTGGGGATGGTGTCTGGTCATCCAAGACTAGCTGGGCATGGTGGGAACTGCCACCACCAGCTCTTGCTGGTGGCCAGCCCCTAGAACCGCCCTGGTGAGCCCTGCAGTCTGCTGTCTGAGAAGACTGTGACCTTGCCTCAGAGGCCTCTGCATCCCTAATGAAACCGTCAATGTCTGTCACAGGGCTTGCTTTGTTCCCTGATAGGCAGCAGTGCTCTGAGACACTGCCACATGCATTTTGGGCCACTGGCACGGAGGGGCTGGCATGTGCTGTCCTCGCAGACACAGAAACCATGTCCTCCAGCAGAATAGCCTCCTTGGAGATTTTTGGTAGATGGACTCCTGTTGTTTCCAAGGTCTTGCTGTGGTTACCTGGAACACCTCGGCTCTTCTCCTGAGATACAAGGGAGACATGAGGGATGGCACCGGCTGGAGCTGCTCCTGTGCTCCTGGGGACAGCTACACTCCTGGTATTGTGAGGTGAGCTAAAGTTGGCAGGAGCTGGTGCTTTCTCCCCAGGAGGGGTGCTCCACTTGCTGGCCAGCTTCACTGTGGATCTGCCCTGGGACTGGGGTTCTGTGGCCCTGGGAGATGTAGGCTGGCTGAGGTTCTTGGGCTGGTGGATTTGCTCTGTGACTGTGGAGGTCTTGCTGGAGTCAGGATGAGCTGCCCTGTTCTTCCCTGGGGAAAGGAGGTGGTCTGGGGAGCCATCCCATCCTGTATAGAGTGGGAGGGGAGATGAAGGGGAAGATGTGAATAAACAGAAACCCTCTCAAATTAAAAAACTGTAAATAGTCTCAATATTGCTTTTCAGACATTCCACAGTCTACGTAGAGACTGGCTTGCCTTTCTGTTTTTGTCTCTCAAATTACAGAGCAGTCACATCTGAGAAACACCGCCCTGCTATAATTGCCCTAAAATAACTCAGACAAACTGGCAGGACGAGCATTTAAACCTGCCCACTTTGCTGTTTTCTTTTACAGAGGACTTAAATCTGCCCACTTTTGTTTTCTTTTATAGACAGAGGACACCAGAAATCCTTTGCCTCTTATATTTTCCCACATGATCACTTCTGATGGAAGAAGCTACAGGAAATGAGAAGCTTTGGTCTGGACTGGGCACAGGCCTCATGTCTTGCCCAGTTCAGCATCTGGCCGATCATGAATCCAGTCTCAGACTGTACAGTGTAAATGGTTTGCTATGGCAAGAATGGTCTGATCTCCAAACTCAAGGGGCTCACTTTCTCTTTTTGTTTTTTTGAGACAGTCTCTCTGAGTAGCCCTGTTCAGCCTCACACTTGATCCCCCTGACTCAGCCTCCACGTCAGGCCTGTGCCAACATACCTGGCCAAGCTGCTTCTTTTTTCAGCACAGATGAAGCTAATGGGAACAATGGGATGTTCTAGATGGGGTCTACATCTGCATGTGGCTCTAGCGCTCTGTCTCATGGCTTAGAGTACATGAAAGCCAGTTATTCCAGGAGCCTCAATGGGGGGAAGGGGATTTGAGTAGGGATCATTAAAGACAGTTTGGTCACAGTGATGATGATGACAGAATGAAAGAGAAACACAAAAGAGCACAACGCACAGAGGCGGCAGGGGACGAGGACAGTGGAAAGTCAAGTGACTCATGGCTGGTTTGAGAGCCACTCCAACCTGGAGGTGCCTCCCCAGAAAGCCCCACACATTCTTGGGCAGCTAATTTGCTCACTCTGACATGTAACCCGTTGCATTGGGGCAACAGGCTCAATCCCATGAAAGCTCTTGGTTTGAGAAGTGTTATCTCAAATGTTTTCTTCATCTCTCTCCTATGAATCATCAGTTTTTTTGTAAGGTCTCATAGCTCAGGTTGGCCTTGAATTTGATATGTGTGCCGAATATGGCCTTGAATGTCTGATCCTCCTGCTTCCACCTCTTAAGTGCTAGGATTACAGGTGTGCACCACTACGTCCAGTTTATGCAGTGCTGGGGATCAAACCCAGGGCCTCGTGTATCCTGGGCAAACACTCTGACAATTGAGCTACCTCCCAGGCCATGAATGCATCTTAATTGCATTTTATTTTTTCTTCTTGGTGAGACTGAGGATTGAAGCTAGGGCACCATACTAGGCAAATACTCTACCACTGAGCTATAGCTACAGCTCTTGCTTTAAAAATTTATTACATTGGGGCTGGAGAGATGGATGGCCCAGCAGTTAAAGAGCACTGACTGCTCTTACAAAGGACAGGGTTCAGTTCCCAGCACCCAGGTAGCCACTAACAACCATCTATAACTCCAGTTCCAGGGGACCTGGCACCCTCTTCTGACCTCTGTGGGTATTGCATGACATAGGTACACTTACTTACATGCAGGCAATATACTCATACACATAAAATAAAAATAATAAACTTTTTTAAAAAAATTACATTTCTGTGTGTGCATGTGGAGGTCAGAGGACAACTTCTCCTTCTGACATGTAGTTCTCAGGGATTAAACTCAGGTAGTCCAGCTTGGCAGCAAGCGCTTTCACTGGATGAGCCATCTCACCAGCCCCCAGCTCTCACTTCACTTTTTACTTTGATATAGGGTTTCACTAAGTTGCTCAGGCACGCCTTGAATTTGTGATCCTTCTGTCTCAATCTCCTGAGTAATATGGATTATAGGTCTGTACCACCAGGTCTGGCTTTAATTGTAACTTGTTTTCCTCCTGATCTTCCTTTATGAATAATTACAGACTAATTATTAGGACTCATCACTGTGCTGAGAGTTTTTCCAGTAACAAAGGGTTATTAGAACTTTTTTTTTTTTTCTAGAAGTTGTTCATGCATTCGATTTCCTCCCGGCAGTGGGAGGTGGGCCCTTTGCATTGAGAGGATGAGGAATGGAGTCACCAGTGATTGAGCAACGTGTTCAAGGTTCATAGGCCATAGAACCAGGAGTCGCCCTAAGAAGCTGGATTCACAGTTCATGCTCTAAACCTGAACCCTGTGCCCTCCATGTTGAAAGCATGTGGCAAGAGCAAAGGTGGCTCATTGAGATGCGCATGGAGATGGCACGTAATTTCTCCAGGCCTGCTGTGGAGGGCAGATGCTCAGAGCACCTGCTGCTCCAGGTGGTGTGGTGACCAATGCTCGACCTTTCCAAAGCTCCCAAGCCCAACTCCCTGCTTCTCTGCTGACATCAAATACAGGGAGAAAGTGGCAGTGTGACAGGAGACTAAAAAGGCCATTTTTAAAAAACATTTCTCTTGTGTGTGTAGGTGCATGTGGTACACGCGTGTGCAAGTACCACAGTATTTGTGCAAAGATCAAAAGACTTTGCTCTGGTTTGCTCCTTCTACCACGTGGGTTTCAGGGATTGAACTCTGGTGGTCCAGACTGGAGGCAAGCACCTTTATCTGATGAGCCATCACACCACCAGCTCTCAAAGGCCACTTTATAGTTTCAGATTCACTCAATGAACATGCCCTAACAGGGACTTTTTTGTGCAATTTTTGTTAGTGATCTGAGTTACTGCAAAGTGTGTATCTTCAAAGGGGGTTTTTGAGACAGTCTCAAGTATCCCAGGCTAACCTTGACCTCATTATGTAGTTGAGGATGACCTTGAACTCCTGATCCTTCTGCTTCCATCTTGCAAAAGTGCTGAATGACAAGCAGAGTTTATGTGGTGCCCGGGATCGAACCCAGAGCTTCCTGCATGCTAGGAAGCTCTCTACCGACTGAGCCACATTCCCAGCCTCTTCAGTGGCTTTCACTTGAGGGAGATAAAGCTACCTGGAGGCAACCTTTGTGCTACCTTTTAAAATAATGCTTCATTTTGAACCCCTCTAAATGCCCAATAATGGGTACATCCCTGGGGTAGAAGGCCCAGCAGCTTGACAACATGATGGCCGAGTGTGGAAGGCCTCTGGGACACTGGCTTCCAAGGACGTTGCTAGTGGCTTGTGTGCTGCTGAGTCACCAGAGCCCAGCACAGCCTGCCAGGCCACACCGATCATGCAGGTGCACATGCGCCGGTTGCCCCAGCAGCTGCTCGAATATTATTTTCTGTGGGTGTCTGAGGGTAGAAAGGTTGTTAGCTACATTACTAATAAAAAGAAACAGCATGGGGCTCTGACTGATGTTTCATCCACAATCATACAAACAGGACTAACAGGATACGAAGAAAAATCTTAAAAGCATAAAAAGAATTATAAAATTATAATTAATATAAAATATTAATTTCCTCTAGAGCTCTGTTGACTTTAACTTTTTTGGGGGGGTCTTTTTTGAGACAGGGTCTCCCTGTACCCCAGCTGGCCTGGAACTCACTATGTAGACAAGGCTGGCCTTGAATTCACAGAGCTCCATCTGCCTCTGCCATCTGAGTGTGTCACCAAGCTTGACTTTAACTTTTACATTTTCCTTCTCTGTTGTCATTTCCTAAGTTTTCATCATAAAAATGCCTGCGTTTTATTATGGAACTATTTTAAAATTTAGTGACAAACAAGAGGTCTGTACTTCCCCACTCCTTTTTAGGACTTTTCTCATAGCCAGCTCTGATGGCTCCTCAGAGGCCGTGGCCCCTGCCCCTGGTTTTAAGAGTGGTCAGCTAGGAGAGCCAGTGACAGCCCTCAGGATGTAGGTCAGCTCCCAGGAGCATGGCTCACTCAGTTGGCCGCTTGTTCCTCTATAAAATGAAAGATTGATCTTTATTCCTTTCTGCAAATCTTCCTAGGAAAATTGTGTGTATGTCTGCGTGTGTGCCTGTACATTTGTACATGTCTTAATGAATGCATACTATAAGCTAGGTAAGTTCATTGGTGCTTTTTTCAAAAATATTTTATTATTTTTATTTTATGAGTGTTATGCCTGAATGTTAAGTGCACCTATGCTATGCAGTACCCTCAGAGGACAGAAGGTGGTGTCAGATCCCCTGGAACTGGAATTACAGTTGTTAGCTGCCCTACGGGTGCTGGGGATTGAACCCGAGGTCCTCTGCAAAAGCATCCAGTGCTCTTAGTAGCTGAGCCATCTCTCCAGCCCTATATGTGCTTTTTCTTAGGGAAATCATGTATATGCATACCACATAATGTACTGAATGCATATTTTGTACTAGACAGTGTTCTGAACAGTATATGTGAAAAACCTTACTCACGCCACAGAAACAATCCTATGAGGTGGGCAACTGTGACCTGCCCAGGACACTGCCTTGGTCAGGTTGGATTTGGACCCGGCCTGTGTATGTGACACCCATGTGCTTCCCTATCATGCTTTGTATGTATTATTATTAGTAATTTGAGGAGCAGGATTTTGAAATTACATGTATTTATTTATTGTGTGTATGTGTGGGGTACATATGGGCCACAGTGCACGAGTGGAGGTAAGAGGATAACGTTTGGGAGTCAGTCTTTTCTTCTACCATTTGGGTCCCAGGAATTGAATTCAAGTCATCAGGCTTGGTGGAGAGCGTCTGCTGAGCCATCTCACTGGCCCAAGTAGAAGGATTTTTTTTTAAGGTAAAGTATTCCTTTAAAAGGTCAGCGGTTAAGATCATTGACTGCTCTTGCAGAGGACCCGGGTTTGATTCCCAGCACCCTCATGGCGGCTACCAACCATCCTTAACTCCAGTTCCAGGGGAATCCGAAGGCCTCTTCTCACCTCTGCAGCATTGCACAACACGGGTGCACTCACATACATGCAGACAATACACTCATACACATAAAATAAAATAAAATAAAATAAAATATTAAAAAAAGAATTCCTTTAAAAAAAAATCAATGAGGTGTTTTTAGATCCTTCCCTTTAAAAAAGTTTCTTATAATGAAATTAGAAGGAAGGGCATGACTAACAGTCCAGGTGCAGCTGGCTATAGAGAGTCTATTAACAGAAAAAAAAGAGGAAACACCACAAAAAAGGCAGCAGTATTAAAAATTGGCATGGGGGGGGGTTCAAGTAATTTAATGTTGGGTCAAACCCTTCAGATATACCCCCAAAGCCCTAGAGGGCGCCAGTGTATCACTCCAATTCAGTCCTCATTGGACCCTCTCATGTAAAAATTCCATGATAACCAATGTTTTATGTTTCAAAATGAATTACATGCTAATTAAATATAGCACATGTACTGTTACACAGTAAGCACCATCAGCTCCTGGCACTAGGATTTATAGTTGCTCTTGTCTCAAGGCTTATTACCCGTTCAGAGAGGGGCAGATAAATAGGAGGATATTGGGTTTGATGATTTGAAACAGTAATCCTTTGTTTCCCTTCCCCTTTAATTCTAAGAGAAATGTGGATCCCAGGAGAACTTCCAGAGAACTGTTTTGTAGAACATGGACTCAACATAAACATAGGCACTGTTTTCAAATGGAGACTATTTTGAAAGGCAGCATCATGAGCTGCCTCAATATAACTTCATCTTCCACATTTTAAGTTAACACACATTCCAATAAAGTCAAGTTACTAACGAAAATTGCCAGTTAACATTCAGTGAGTAAATGATGGAGCAGAAGCCATGGTAACAGCAGCATCATTGACGGAGGAACAAGGAGCCACAGAACACATTAGGGGCCTGTACTTTTTCTGTGAGTAGTAAACAAAGTATAGGGTTGAAGACAAGTATGGTGGTGCATGGAGAGGCAGGGAGATCAAGAGTTCCAGGTCAGAGAGGGCTAAGTAGTGAGACCCTATCTCAAAAGTAAGGTGAATATTCTGCAGTTCCAATTTTTTTTTTTTAAAGGCATGTGTGGGGGCTGGAGAGATGGCTCAGCAGTTAAGAACACTGACTCTTCTTGCAGAAGACCCGGGTTCGAATCCCAGCTCCCACACGGCAGCTAACTGTCCCTAACTCCAGTTCCAGGGGATCCGACAGCCTCTTCTGTTCTCTGCAGGCATTGCACGACACGGATGCACTTACCTACATGCAGGCATAACACTCATATATGTAAAATAAAAAAAATTTTTTTTAAAAAGGTGTGTGTGTGTGTGTGTGTGTGTGTGTGTGTGTGTGCTCACAGAGGCCAAAGGAGGGTGTCAAATCCCCTTATAGCTGGAGTTACAGGCAGTTATGAGTTGCCCAATGTGGGTGCTGGGAATCAACTGGGGTCCTCTGAAGAGCAGCAAGCACTAGTAACCACTGAGCCATCTGTTCAGCCTCTGTTTCAAAATTTTAATTTATAGGACTGCCTTCAAAAGGGTGGGCTATCACCAGGTGTGGTGGTGCACACTTTTGATCCCAGCACTCAGGAGGCAGGGGTAGGTAGATCTCTGTGAGATCAAGGCCAGCCTGAGTTCTAGGCCAGCTAGGCTGCAGGGAGACCTTGTCTCAAAAAGATGAGAGACACACTATCTCACTATCTCATTTCTCTACACCACAGACCACTAGCACTTCAGGAGTGATCAGGCTATCACAGTATTTACCAGGCACAAGAAAAGTGTCTCCTTCCATTAAGAAAGGAGTCAAGTTACTTAATTCAGCATGATGTCACAAATCCCCTAGGTGTAGGCGGTTGTGATTCCTGCTTCCATGACAGGCCATCTCTCATCATGCTTAGGTTGTTTCCCTACAGTGATTTTTTTTTTTAACTTTTCTTGTGGAGGTTTTTACTGCCATTTCTACACTTGATTTCACATATGCAGAGTGTGGAGAGTCTGTAGGGGGGAAATCTCATTTCTCATGTTTCATCTCTGTCACAAAATGAACAGTACTGACAACTGAACACAGATGCACTCAACACAGAATTCAAACTGGGGAAGACACAGTGACCTAGTGAAGTTGTTTCATGAAGTCATCATCTAAATACTAATTTTTGTATTTTTTTTCTCAAAATTATCTGCTTATAACACCTTTCTTAGGATTTGAGTCGTCCTATCTTTAAACTGAACCAACAATAAAATAATCTTACCAGTCCCAGGGTGTGGCCCGCACTCAGGTGCAGCTGCCTGAAGGTTCTGTGTGGGGAGTCCAGTGTTTGGGTGGCATGGGGTACTGGCTGGTCCATAGTCAGTGGGGACATATCTGTCCCCAGGGGTGGGATTTCCCAGGGGTTCCTGGCACAATGAAAAGCAGAAGCTACTGTTAACAGCTTTTAGGTTTTTTGCATAGTAAGATATCATTGTAAGTAGAGGAGTTTGTTTAGAAGCTGGATGAGCCCTGGACTGGGAGCTGGAAGATCCAGGCTCCGGATGCACCCCCAAGCCTCAGATTGTTAAACTTTAAAATGGGAATAAATAAGACTAGTTCTAAAGAAATGACGATTAAACAAGAAGAGCTGTAAAACCAGCAGATAAAAATGAAACCGACGTGGTATTTCGAGACTTCCCTTAGGCCAAGTGTCAATTATTTTATCTTCCTTTCTTTTACAAAATACCTATAACAAAAACAAATTTAAAACTAAAAAGCTCAGGGGGCTGGAGAGATGGCTCAGCGCTTAAGAACACTGGTTGTTCTTGCAGAAGACCTGGGTTTGAATCCCAGCACCCACATGGCAGCTAACAACTGTCCATAACTCCAGTTCCAGGGGATCCGATGGCCTCTTCTGTCCTCCGCAGGCATTGCACAACAGGGTACACTTACCTACATGCATACACATAAAATAAAAATAACAAATAAAATATTAAAAAAATAAAATAAAATAAAAAGCTCAATTGTACTTATTAGAAGTTAAATCACTGAGTGAGTCATAGTGGCCCTGAGGTGGCAGCAGAGGTAGGAGGTAAAGGTAGAATGGGTCAGCAACTCTTGTTAAAAATCATTCTGTGGGGGCTGGAGACATGACTCAGTGGTTAAGAGCACTGACTGTTCTTACAGAGGACCCAGGTTCGAATCCCAGCACCCACATGGTGGCCAACAACTGTCCATAACTCCAGTTCCAGGGGATCAGACACCCTCTTCTGACCTCCACGGGCATTGCATGACACAGGTGCACTCACATACATGCAGGCAGTACACTCATACACATAAAAATAATAAATAAAATATTAAAAAATTGTTCTGGAAAGTGTCAGTCATCAGCTGATGGAAACTTTCATAGGGTTTAACTCAGTTAAGTTTCTACTTACTAGTAAGGTATTCTAAAAAACAGGAGAATCAGGGATGGACAGGTGGAGATGGCATTGGACTATTATACTAAGTGCCCCTGAATCACATATTTTAAAATGGTTCATTTTATAAGAATTTTACCATAATAACAAGTACTAAGTAGGGCTGTGGGGTGTGGCTCAATGAGTAAAAGTGCTTGCTGTGCAAGTGTGAGGACCTGAGTTCAGACCCAGTCCCTGGGTGTGGCCATGTGCACCTGTAACCCCAGCACGGGATTCACTGGCCACCACTTTAGCTGAAAAACAGTGAGCGCCAGGTTTAATGAGAGACCCTGTGTCAAGGGAATAAAACAGACGGCGATAGAGGGGGGACCTGGGAGTGTGCACCTGCACGTGTACATACACACAGAGCAAAAAAATTGACAAGTACTAAGTAAAATAAAAGAAAACTTCACTAAGGAAATTTGCTTTGTTTTGTTTTGAGCTTCTAACACCTGTGGGTGCCTAATAGTGATACATTCTATGTGTTTTTCATTAATAAATCAAATTTTAGAATTTTTTTAGGAGAAAAAAATTTTAAAATAAAAGTTCTGCTCAAAAGCTCTTATTGTGAATATTTCAAAATTATAAAACCTCCTGTCTCCCTCCCCCATCCTCCCTCTCCCCCCCTACAACCCCCTTCACTGTCTCTGTGTGTGTGTGTGTGTGTGTGTGTGTGTGTGTGTCTCATATAGCCCTGTCTGGCTAGGATAGCTGGCATTACAGATATGTGATGCCACCACATGTGGCAAAAGTTATTTTAATATTTATTTTTATTTTATGTGTATGAGTGCTTTGCTTCCCTATATATAAGTGCACCCGTGTCATACAATGCCCATGGAGGCCAGTGGGTGGTAAGAACCAAACCTGGATCCTCTGCAAGAGCAGCCTGTGCTCTCTAGCCCCTGGCAAAAGTTATTTAAAAGAAGTTATTAGGTACAAAAATTCTGATTTGGCCTTCTACAGTTTTCCAAAACTTGATAATGAGTATGTATTGGGGGAGGGATGCTGGGGATCAAACTCAGGGCCTTGTGCATGTATGAGGTAAGCACTGTATCAATGAACTACATCCCCAGCCCAGATGATACTTTTTTAAAAAAGAAGCAACACATCTACTGGTTGGGCATATTATAAACATGCTAGGGGACTGGAGAGATGACTCAGCAGTTAAGGGCACTGGCTGCTCTTGCAGAGAACCTGGGTTCAATTCCCAGTACCCATATGGTAGCTAACAACCAGTTCCAGGGGATCCGATGCCCTCTTTTGATCTCTGCAGGCATTGCATGACACGGGTGCACTTACATACATGCAGGTAATACACTCATACACATAAAATAATAATAAAATGTTTTTAAGAAATATGATTGGTAGAGGTAAAATAGAATTTTTGAAAATGTGAATGTATAAGCATTTAAAAAAAGACTTCTGTCTCATACAGGTTTTAGGACTTTATATTTTCTGGACCTATTTATACATATATAAACCACTTTAAATCATAATAAGCCATCTTAAAAAATATGGCCTTATAAGTCATCTCAGATTCATTGCTCAGAGACAGAAATTTCTATTGAGGAGACTGAACAAATTCTCTTACTGTCTCCTGGCTGGAGAAGAGGTGCACTGAAAAATTTTAAATGAACAAGTAGATAACTAACATACAATTAGTAGTAAAAATAATTTGCATTTATTAGGGTGCATTATAAGTTTTTGAGTACATATAACTCTGTTTTTGCATGGGATAGTCTATCTAGGGTCTCACTGTAGCCTGAGCTAGCCTTAAATTTTCAATCCACTTGTGTCTACCTCCTGAGTGCTGGGATTACAGGCATGTGCCCCATGCCTGGATTCACATGATACTTACGAGAAAGGTATATGGAGCTACTATCACACATGATTGTGGTATAAATTTCAAAAAGGAGGATCATTCATAACCACATCTGCTAGATAGTTAACAGTTAACCACTTTTGGTTGCCCCACCCTCAGCTGACCAAGGCAGACAGTGCCATCCCTGTTTCACAGCTCAGGAGAACTGAGGCTTTGGAAGGCTCAATGACTTTGCCATGTTGTCACTCAACTTGTGCCAACTAGTCAATGAAGTTGATTCTAGGCCCTGGGCTTTACTTCCCCCATACCACAATGTCTTTCTGTCATTACCACTGGCCCTGTGTCCTGCGGAGTGCATGATTACATCTTTCGGCTGAGTGATTTTGTGACTAACAATCTGCCACTATAGTAATGGGCCCTATTAAATGACTCCTGTTGAAATATAATCCTCTAGTCATCACCCTTTTGGCCAAGTTACCCTGTACTTTACAAAGGGCCTTGTAGTCATCATACAATATCCAAACTTAAGAGTCAGAGAAGTGAGGGCTGGAGAGATGGCTTTGGCTGTTCTTGCAGAAGACCTGGGTTTGAATCCCATCACATGGTAGCTAACAACTGTCTGTAACTCCAGGTCCAGGGGATCCAACAGCCTCTTCTGTCCTCTGTGGGCATTGCACGACACGGGTGCACTTACGTACATGCAGGCAATACATGCATACACATAACATAAAAATAATAAAAAAAAATTGCTGGACATGGTGGCGCACGCCTTTAATCCCAGCACTTGGGAGGCAGAGGCAGGGGGATCTCTGTGCTTCTTCAGCACTGCATAACATGAGTGCACTCACATACATGCAGGCAATACATGCATACACATAAAATAAAAATAATAAACAAAATTAAAAAAAAAGAAGAAGAGCAAGTCAGTTACCTTCTCTGCAGTTCCACTTGGCTGACGGCTGGTGACAGTCTCTTTGAGGGAAGTAGCCTGGACTTTCATGTCCTGACCACACGGTTCATCTGCTCTGCCAGTTAGGGCCACCTCAGCCTCAGGCCTCTTGCAGTGTGGGTTGACTTTGGCCACAGGCTTGTGCCGGGACAGTAGGTTTTCATTCTTCTGTGGTGGAGAAATGGGGTTCTCTGGGCTCCTTGGGCTCTGGGTGTCCGCAGAGCCTTTGTATTCCAGTTTGGGGGAACTCCTTGATCCTGACAGTTCCTTTCTTCCAGAGCCACTCTTAGGAGCTTCTGCAGAGCCCGGTAGGCTGGCTGCCTTGTGAGGAGTGCCCCCTATTCCCTCAGTGATGCTGTCTTCTAAGTTCAGTGAGCTGCCAAGCAGAGGCACGGAACAGGCCTTGCTGACCAGTGGTTTCTGGGGTCCTTCCTCCTGCCTGCTGGTGCCCATGTTTTTGGAAGAGATTGTGGAGGCAGGCCTCAAGTCATCCTCCATCAGAGGCCTGCTGGGACCTGGAAGGGCTCCTGGGAGTGAAATGCAGTCCCCCTCGCCATCAAAGTCTTCCTCATCGCTGGCATCATTGGCATCATAGCAGCGTACCCTCCTCTGACGGAGGAGAGGATTCCTCAGCACCTGCGGGCTTCCGGGTAGACTGGTTTGCCTGGCAACTGTCACTTGTTTGTGTAAGAGCCCAGAGGCCCGCTGACTTCCAAGACACACAAGGCTGTTGGCCCTGGCTTTCCCTGGCTCCTTGGGAGCTACAAGGGATGGAGAGAAAAGAGTTAAACGAAAATGAGTTTCCAATCTGGCCTGGCCTTATGGGGAAATCAATCCTGTCATGGCACACGAGCATTTCCAGATTCACACATGCCAGGCACAACCTCCGGCCACCCACATAAACAACGTGGCTCCTTGGGGTCCATGCAGTATGGGCAGCTAGCCTGTTGCTCCTCTTTCATTTTGACCTCCCCTACCCTTTTATTTCTATACATACACATATACCTATACATACATACACACATTTCTTGTGTGTTTGGGTGTGAATGTGGGCAAGCAGGTACATGTGTATGGCATACATGGAGGTCAGAGGACAACCTTGGGCATTGGTTCTTGCTTTCCACCTTGTTTATTACCACTGTACACATCAGGCTATCTGACCTGCAAATGGCCAGGGATTGTCCTGTCTCTGCCTGTAGTACTGGGGTTACAGACATGAGCTACCAAGTCTGGCTTTACACAGAGCCTGTGGATCTGAACTCATAACCACATGCTAGCTCAGCAAGTGATTTATCCATTGAGCCATGTCCCACCATTAAAAACAACAGTCTCTGGATTATTTAACTTGAACCGTGTGCTTTCTAGAGACAGGAAATTTATAGCTCTCCAACTTCTACTTTGTCTTCCAAGCTGCTGGGGTCTGACCTAAATGCTGACACTGAGAATTCCCCTCTAGTGGGTGATATCAATAACACATCCCCACACCTAGGCTTCCTCATCACCCAAGGGCCCTCTCCGATCTGCAGCAAAAGGAGTTCCATTCCAAGTCCAAGCTGTCTGTTTCTCAAAGATAAAGTCCATCTTTGAGGCAGAGTGCCTGGGCGGCTCTGCAAACCCTTCATATGCTTCACACCCAGACTGCAGTGGGAGGTGTGTGCTTGCCACTTGGAATGTGTCTATGGGGACAGAGCACACCCGGCAGCAGCGTTAGTGAGTCCCAGCTGCCATTGTCTATCCCTCTGAAAACCTGGGGATTTTCCTGCTCAGACATTAGAAATTACTAGGGAAACCTTGCCAGCAAAAGTTGAATCATAGCAGGTGATTCGCTCATCTTGAGCATATACTCAAGGAGACTAGACATGACTTTTTGCTAATATCAGCCTCTCCCAAGCCCTGAATCTCTCAGTTTTCTAAAGAGTTACCTAGTGAAGAAAGCAATCTGGATTCCCTGAACTGTGAGGGCCTGAGGTTGCCGAATCTGATTTGCTGCCACAAAACTCAAGATTACATCCTGTAAATGGCATGTGAAGGGGACCTGGGCGAGCCACCTCTAGGACTAGAACATTCGTCGAGCTCCCTACTGCTTGCCTGAGCAGTGGTTACTGACCACTCCCAAGGTTAGATGCTGCCTTTTAAAGGTGGAAAACTGGTCTCTACTCAGCCCGGTCTGGCTTGCAGACCTTTTCCATTGCAGCAGTGTGGGCAAGGCAAACCCCGGGGCCTGAAGCAGGGATGGGGAACTAGCAATTGTTTACTGCCATGCTGAGCTCAGGGACCCTGGGAATTTTTCTGCTCACTGGAGAGGCTGGGAGGCAGGCTGCCATCCTCTGAGGTGCCGCAGCCATTTCCTGTGTGGTCTTCATCCTCAGAGCCGACCACCACAAAGTCGGACAAGGAGCCCTGCCCATCATGGACAAAGTACTGGGAGAGTTCCGATTCGGATAGGAGGGAGTCCTGTGGGAAAAGATCATGCAAAGAACATGTAATGGCTTCCCCTCTTTCCAGGAACACTTTGATCTCATCCCTGCTCACTGGAAACAGCTGTGATAGTACGTGCCCATCTCCATTTACTTTAGGGTGACAAAAGTGATAAATAAAAAGGTGAATGCTGGGCCATTTACTGTTTTTAGAAAAAAAAATTTGGGGTGGGGCACACTTTTTGGCAATGACCAGAAAAGTCACAGTAGCAGTTTATTAACTATCTTGGGGGAAAACACTGGGAGGAGAGGCAGAGAGAATTAAAGTCTAAGCCACATGGCCCAGCCAACTGATGAAACACTGGGGGTTGGGTATGTGTGTGCTGTGGTGGGATGGGGTGGTGGTGTGTGTGTCTGTCTGAATCTTGATCCAGTTGGACTGAGGACCGGCCCACAGTTTCTTTAAAGCTGCAGGCTTGCCCAAACTCAGCTGGCTTTATTATGGAGCAGTTTTAAAAGGGTCAGTGTTTTTATTTTCTTGTTCTACTTTTTTTCCAAGATGAATATTTACCACAAGAAATACACCTTTGGGTGTTTGTTCTCAAGTTGGAATGGTTCCCACTGCCTGTATAAAGTGGCTAAAAGGATTCATAGCAGAAATCTGGGCTGAGGTCTCACACTTGACTAAGGGGACACTGAAACTGGTTTGCATTCCTGCAGTGGTGCATTTTGACTCACCTTTTTGGCAAGAGAGGGACTCTTCAGTGGGGTACCTGTAGGGGGAGAATTCACCAGACTGTTAAACCAACCAAGCTCAGATCCCAAGTAGGCTCATATTTCACCAGAAAAGGAGAAACAAAGCATATTAAACAAAACTGTCCTTTGCCTGAGTCGCACTGATGGGTTACATGCTTAGGTAGGTGTATGTGTGCTGTAAATCGAGGTACTCCCCCGACCTTACTCCCCACCTCCATCCCACCCCACCACATTCCCTAGAGACTCCGCTCCTGCTGCAAGACCCTGGCTCTGATGTCCCCACATCTATGACACCCAAGTGTTTTATCTGACCCATACCTCAATTTCTGTCTACATAGGATGATGAATGGATATTTGCATCTACCCTTTTCTTTCATATATATATATACTTTGTCTTTTTGAGGCAGGGTCTCCCTGTAGCCCCAGCTGGCCTAGAACTCACTATGTGGACCAGGCTGGCCTTGAACTCACAGAGATCCACCTACCTCTGCCTTCTGAGTGCTGGGATTAAAAGTATGCACTACCACATAGGGCATTTCTCCTTTCCAATTGTTTAACAACCCAAAGATGTCAACTGCACCCTGCTGTCTAGTAAATGTCCAGTGATAGTTGGTAACTGTCTAGAAAGGTGAATGAACAAATGAACATCATCTGAAAAACTCATGAAAGAACTGGGGGAAAGGGTTGGCTATTTTACTTTTTAGCTGAAAGATGAAAAGCTGAGCCTTTAGACTTTAAATTCTATGTCACAGGCAAGAGAGATTTAGGACATGAGGGTTCCGGCTTAAGAAAAATCTTTGCTAACTGATCAAGTGGGAATGTTGGGATGAAGAGGGTCCAGTTTTCAGGATAATGGACTGGCTGAATAAACAGCCCGTTATGGCTAAGCCCCTTTAAATATATTAATTATGGATGCAAATAATCAGGGGTTTCATGGTTGCCAAAAAAAAAAAAAAAAAATCCTGTTCCTGTTCCTCTGACAACCAGTAACTCAGACCTTTTCCTCTGGGGTATAAATCTAAATGTCAGAGGAGTCTCCAGCTGGGAGATGTTTGCTGAGTCTCTCTAGGTTTCCACACAAGGGAAACATTTTGTTTTAAAACTTGATACAATGCTTTAACTAGCATTGCAATCCTTCCCTGTCTGAAAATTTGCACTTAAGGGAAAAACTCAGATTTTTGCTGCCCTCCTGGTCCTCTTTGTATTGAAACTTTTAAATTCCTATAAAGAAATCTCCAGCTTTTGAATGAATAATACTCTGCATTAGCAAATGACTCTTATTTCCCTTCCAACATGGTATTTCAACAGAAGCGCATAGATATATGAAGGGCTGTTAACCCACTTTTGCAAATTATTTGAAAGTCATAAAAGCATGCATGATTAGGCATTTAATGAAACACATTAAGTAACTTCAGAAATCAAAAGTAGTAACAAATAGAACACATAGGCTCTCTGACAGCCGCTTTCACCAGCCCTGATAATTACGAAGAACCCAATACCACTGCATCAGGAGTGCTGTGGTGAACTGAGTGAGATCCTCTTCTGAGTGGTGAGCGGCAATGTGTGGTTACAGTAGTTAAGCCAGGAGAGGGGCAGAGGAGAGGAGCAGCTAGCTTTGCGTGGTTACAGTACCTAAGCCAGGAGAGGAGTTGGCCTCTTTGCTTTCCTGATAAGTGCTGCGTGCTATCACTTCATCCATTTCCTGCTCGGACACCTGATTTTCAGCAGAAAGCACAAATTAGATAGTTTTATTTATCCCCACCCCAATAAAAGTAGCTAGGACCAGAGTCAGAGTTCAGTGCAGCGAAAGCAGCAAACCAGAGGGTCAAAGATCTTGACCATCCTCAGAAGCAGTAACTCAGGATCTGTAAGTTCAGCTGGTTAATGGATTGCTTTAAACAATGTGTACTTAACAAGACCTCCAACTGGTCCCCGAGTTCAAGGAGAACATGTGCTGTGATTACCAACTTCACTCCTTTCTAGAACACTTAGTTTTCATTCTTTTTTAAAAAAAACTTGGGGACGGGCCACTGAGATGGCTCTGTGGGTAAAGGCACTTGCCGTCAAGCCTGATAACCTGAGTTTGATCCCTAAGATCTTTATGGTAGAAGGAGAGAAGTGACTCCTGAAATTGTTCTCTGACCTCTCCACACATGCCTACACACACACACACACACACACACAAAATAATTAAATGTACATGTTTGCATTTTAAGTGGGCATTTTGCACATATAACACATCTCAGTTTAAGTCTTTTTGAGACAGGGTCTCCCTATAGCCCCAGCTGACCTGGAGCTCGCTAAGTAGACCAGGCTGGCCTTGAACTCACAGAGATCTGACTGTCTCTGCTTCCTGAGTGCTGGGACAATGGCATAAGCCACCACGTCTGGTGTAATATATTTTTTAAAATGTTAAAAATTAAAAAGTTTAAAACCTTGGGACTGGCAAGATAGTTCAGCACATAAAGGTGCTTGCCAAGTCCAGGGACCTGGGTTCAGTCCTCAGGACCATCATGGTGGAAGGAGAGAACTGATTCCTGCAAGTTGACCTCTGACCTGCACATGTGCACTGTGGCACATGTACTTCCCCTACAAAAAAAGTGTAAATAACACTTTATTCAAAAAATTAAAAACCTACAAAAATATGCAAGGACATTACACTATTCATCTAAATTCACTGATTTTTCACATCTTGCCACATTTATGTGTATCCCTTCTCTTTACACACATATATACACCATCTTTTTGCTAAACCACTGGAAGTTGCAGACAGTATGATCTTTCACTTGTAAATATGTTATTATATATCTCCTAAAAACAAAGATGCTTTAGCAAGTAGCCATTGTACTTTGAACAGATTCAGGACTATAATGTTGATGACTGTGTTCCAGTTCAGTCTGTTCTAATATCATGCTTCTGAAGTCCTACTCAGAGTGCCTACAGGTTGCAAGCAGTTCACAGGCGGGCTACCAGCCTGGGGAGAGACAGGACTTTCCTCCAGAATGCAAACAAGCACACAGCTTCCTCAAGAAACACAATCTTGAAGGAGGATACACCTGCTGGACATGGGTGTGCAATGACTAAGTGATTTACAGTCTCACACCACGCCACCTGTTTTGGACCTGTGCTGGATCCGTGTAAAGCTTCTTTGCGTTACAAGAAGATTCTTTGAGGCAGTCCAGGATCTAAGCCACCATGTATCTCCAATCTTTTAAAATCTGAAACAGTTCTGAATCTTTTTGTCTTTCATGATACTGATATTTTGGAAAGAACTCAGGCTAATCCAAATCCTCAATTAGGATCTGTCTGGTAGTATCCTCATGCTTAATGGTTTTTTTGGGGTTATTTTGGGGGGGAGTACAAAAATATTTTCCCTTTCAGTGCACCCAGAGGCACTCAGTGTTCACGTCTCACAATTGGCGATAACTTTGATATCTTGGTTAGGATGGAATGAGCCAGACTTCTCCACTGGAGTTTTTGTCATTAATGAGTAATCTGTGTGGTGAATGTCTGAGGTCATGTGAATACCCTGCATCTATGCATGTGCTTGCGTGTAAATGAGTAATTTTTAGGTTAGCAAACAAAGTACTAACAAAGGCCTCATCATGGCAGCTTCATACTTGACGCGTTTTTGTCTTGTAATTTTAGTTTAGTTGATTATTTTTACTAAAATCAATCATTACTATGAAGTTTTCCAAAACAATGATTTATATTTCTTCCATTCTTTCTACATTATTCAACATAATGGTAGACCCAAGGTATTCTCTCCCTATTAATTATTATCCCTTTCTGAAAAAAAATTCAACTTATGGAACTAGAGAGATGGCTCAGCAGTTAAGAGCACCGGCTGCTCTTGCAGAGGGCCTGGGTTCAGTTCCCAGCACCCACATGGCAGCTAACAACCATCCTGTACCTCCAGTTTCAGGGAATGCAACACCCTCTTCTGACCTTCTCAGGCACAACACGGGTGCACTTACATACATTCAGGCAATATACTCATACACATAAAATAAAAAAACAAAGCATTAAAAACTTTTCAACCTATTCTGCTTAAAATATTATATGTGAATGCTACTGGTGGGATTGCAAACTCATGCAGCCTCTATGGAAAACTGTGGAGAACTCTTAAAAAACTAAAAATGAACCTACCATTTGACCCAGTTATACCACTCCTTGGCATATACCCAAAGGACTCATCCTATTGTAGAGACACTTGAACAACCATGTTTGTTGCTGCTCTTTTCACAATAGCTAAGAGATGGAAGAAACCTAAGTGCCCCTCAACTGACAAGTGGTTAACAAAAATGTATATTTACACAATGGAGTTCTATTCAGCAGTAAAGAAGGATAAAATAATGAAATTTGCAGGTAAATGGATGGATCCAAAAACTGTTATACTAAGTGAAGTAACACAGACTCAGAAAAACAAATGACATATGTTCTCCATCATATGTGGGTCCTAGTACCAAATCCTTTTAAATTCCCAGTCCTTTTAATAAGATGATCATATACAGCAATCCCTTTTGCATGAAATTGTAGTCATAGTTGACCTTGTTGATGGTTGTGCTCATTCATTAAAAGAGGGCCAAGCAGTGTCACTGGACCCTTACTGGAATATCCAGCCACTCTTCCCAGCCAACTGTATGTAATTTGACCCTAATAACACATGGCCTCCTAGATTTGGAGAGGGCTAAACTATACAATCTGTGGAAGGCTAGGAATAGAAGGCATGACCCATGCTGGGTAAAGGCTATCCAGTGTGCATACACTCAGTTCATACATATACCTCAGCAACCCCTCAGTTATCTTGGTAAGTAAGATCAATAAATTCATTGGTTCCCCAGTAAAACTTTAATGAAACATTGGCTTGACACTAGAACCTTAAAAGAGAATAAGCATCTCACAACAGATTGAAAATTTATTTGTTAATGCTATAATTATTTTTAAAAAAGAAAATGAGAATGTAAAAGATGTTAAAAGGATACAGGAATGAAGATATTTTCCAAAATAGAAAAAATGAAAAAGCCTAAGCAAGTGAAGGTC